AAGCAACACATCTATGGCATTTATTACAAAACAGCATTTGATCACTGCTCACCAAATGGCTTGGCTGGTTTACATCTTGAAAAAAATTGATTTGACTCTTCATTTGATTTAACCACTTAAACACTGCTCACTTATTTTATTTCCATGTGCTTGACTGCCCCTTTCTCATCATTCAACTTGAATAAACCCAAATAAATACAAAAATAATAATAAAATGCTACAGAGTCTCATCTCAGGTATGAGATACCCATCAGGTATATCAAGTTTCTGCAGGTACAACAGCAGAATTTAATATTGCCAAAGTCCTTTATAAATATTTACGTATAAAAGTTCTTCAGAATCTGATATTCCAGATTTAATCTGTCCAACAAAGAGTCATCAGAAGCGATGATAGAAATCCTTAAAAAGAGTTGAGTTCCTTCAGGGTGATGAAAGTCTCCTTTGACTTCTTGTACTGCCTGGCAAACGTGGCCACCCTCTGGAGAGCTTCTGCCAGCCCGTCGCCCGTGATGGCACAGCAGGGCTGCACGTACCAGTTCCTGTCACTGCAGTACTTCTTCATCTTCAGCTTCCTGGTGACCTCCTCGGCGTTCAGAGCTCCAGGCAAATCCTGCTTGTTGGCCAGCACGACCACCGGCACGTTTTTTATGGATTCGTTCTTCAAAATGAGCTCAAATTCCCTCCTGGACTCCTCCAGCCGCCGCTTGTCAGAGCTGTCCACCACGTACAGCAGCGTGCCGGCGTCTTCCAGGAAACTGCTCCAGAGCTCTCTCATGTTCTTCTGTCCTCCAACATCCCAGAATGTCAGTGTGAAATCTTTCCCTGCTTCGATCATGTCCACGTTGAAGCCAACCGTTGGCATTGTTACAAAAACATCGTCAGACCTGAACTTGTAGAGCAGCGTGGATTTCCCCGCCGAGTCCAGCCCCAGCATCACGATGTTGGCCCCCTTCATGGAGGGCTTGGCGTTGTGGAGGCCCATTTATCCCGGGGAATTCTGGATTCCAGGGATATTCCCCTCTTCCCTGGGCCCGGTTTGTGTCGCTGCCTTTCCCCCTGCTGAGGTGAGGCAGAAGCAGAGAGGGAGAAGAGGCAGCTGGGAGCTCTGGAGCAGGCGGATCTCTGCACAAACACGCTGCTTTTATCGAGGTGATAAGGAGCCACGGGGCTTCGGAAGCTCCGTGCCAAGCCCGTGGGTGGGACTGGGATGAGTAACCACGGCCCCACTGGCACAGGCACAAAGGTTACAGGCTGCCAGCTTGTTTGAACAGCAGCCTGATCCATGGATTCCCTGATCACAGCCAGGTCCTGGCTCCCAGAGAATCCCCCTGAGCATCCACAGACATCTGGGGGAAAAATGAGATCGAGGCCTTAAGTTTTAGCTTTTACATTCTGATATTTTATATTCAGATTCTGTGCTGCTTTAGTGTGGAGGTCTGAGCTTCATGCTAAGTGTTGGTGAGCTCTAGAGCAGGAGACGAAACAATTCCTGCTCCAGCTGGGCACCAAGGACAAATGATCCAAACCTCAGCCCAGGAGCACAAACAGCGTGGGCTGGAGAGAGAAAAACAAGCAGGGTGGGACTGATGGGCTGGAGCTGGAATGGGACAATGAACTCCAAGGTGCCAATGGAGCAGAACTGATCCCAGGGAGAGCCCCGGGAGCGCTCGTGCATTTTGGGACCATTTTGGGTCATTTGGGTGCAGCCCTGGCTGGGCTCTGGTGCTGCCCAAGGTGGGTCCATGGAGGAGATCCTTGAATAAATCCCTGCTTTGTTCTGGGACTCTGCCCAGCCTCTGCTCCAGCTCAGCCTGCACAAGGCATCTAGACATGAACACAAGCAGTGAGGAGGGGAGATTTAAGATTTAAGATTTGTCCATACTTAGCAAGCCACAAAATGAGCAGGTAGCTGATTTATCAGTGCAGCTCATCTCCCACAAACTGATCTGAGGTGGTCTCAAATGTGAGTTCCAGCCCATGGTCTCGATGAAACCCTGAGAGAACTCCACTAAAACTGGGCTCTGCTCTAAGCAGCTGCCTCAGGGACTCCTCCTGCCAGGGCTGTAAACTCCGGGAGTTTGTTTGTGTTGTTGGTGAACGAGTTTAACTGCGCCCCACAAGGTGGAGCCTGATGCTCTGGTCATCACTGAGATCCCGCTGCCTTCCATTAAAAATTCCTGTTACCTTCATTTCGCTCTACTCCGTGCTTGCCCAATGAAGATTTCCTTCAGGAAAGGGTCAAGGAGCGAGGAAATAACCAAGCCTTGATAATTATTTTTTTTTTTAAATAACCAAGTCTTGATAAGTTTTTTTTAAGCCACCATTCCAAGTAGCAGAACAAAACAAGAGGAGATAAAAATGCAGTCAGCTATTAATGAGTTCCTATTGACTGCTCATTTTCCTGATAGTGCATGCACCTTGGGCTGCTCTGACACATCCTGACTACTGCAGGAGTTGCCCTTACACCCAGGAAAACATTTCTCTTTGCTTCAGAAAGTCCAGAATCAGCAAAAAGATGTAAAGGTCTTGTAGCAAGCTGCTGACTGATAGAGCAATCATTTCGATAATTACGACATTGGTTGCGTAAAATCCACCTCAGCCCTGACAGACAAGTTATAATCTGGTTTTCTCTTGAGACTAAAAGGGTTAGAGTAACTGGGGGCAAAGAGAGATGACACCCACACACTCACTGCTGCACGTTTTTCACAGTTAATAACACGCATGGATTATGTGTAGGGTTTTTCAGGAGTGGGTCAGGATGTATTAAACCAGGGAAGAAAGTGTTTGCATTTCTTTACAAATGAATGGACGTGAATGAATTGAAGGGTGGGGAGGCAGCAAACTGCAGAACACCGGGTTAACATGGCAAATGGACCACAATTCCCTGATGAGATTCCAGTAAAATAGGAATATTTGCAGCAAGGCAGGCATGGATGGTCTGTCCCCAGGTGTGATTCAGAGATCACTCACACTTTTCTGCTCTGTGTGCTCCACCTGCACAGGGTGCTCGTGGTCCCAGCTGTGATTTCCTCCACCAGCTTCACTTCAGAGCAGGGATGGAGCAGAGCCTGGCTTTTTACGAGGTAATTTGTGGTAATTCGTGTGGGGCTCTGCAGGTTTCTGACCGTGCCAGAGGCGCTCCCAGGAAGGATTCCTGGAAGGATTCCTGAGCTGCTCCCGAGTCAAACAGCAGTGTGGCAAGCACATTTCTCTCCCTCTCAGGATTTTTCATAGAGGTGCACAGAGAGAAATGAAAGAGAAAACAATTTCTATTTCTGCTGCTTGTTTTTCCTATGTGGAATGTGTTTAGAGAATTATTTACATGGAGTGAGTGCTTGATTAGATTTTGATGAGGATTGTTTGAGCCTGGTGGCCAATCCAACCCACCTGGGGCTGGGCTCTCAGAGAGGGTCACAAGTTGTGTTAGAGTCAGAGAAAGTAGTGTGTAGTTGTAATATCCTCCTTTTATATAGTATATTGATGTATTTTAGCATAGTTATAATAAAGAAATCACTCAGCCTTCTGAATTGAGTCAGACATGGTCATTTCTTCCCGTTGGGTTCACCTGCGTTTCCAATAGTGCAGGACAGAACAGCCAGAGCACCGCCGGCCTGAAAGCCAGCTTTAAATAATATATTTCCAAATTATTTCTGCTGGTAGCTTTAAAATGGATTTATTTTCCTATACACCTGTTATTACGGTACTTTAAAATCATCATATTGGACTATTGGTTATTCTAATTAGTAATATTTAATGAATATGAGAATTTCCCACCTTTGCAGATTTTATGATTGGCTTTTCGCAAATATTACAATGAATATTATATGTGTAATGTTAGAAAGTTGTGCTGTATTAATTCTCTTAAGTAGTGTGTTAAATGTAGTTTTAGGTTACAACATAATGTTAAAATAGAGACTATGGATGTGGGGGGAGGTTTTTTTTTAGGATGAGATACTCGCTTCGAGGAACACCTGAATCTTCCAAAGAAAAGGAATTTATGGCTTCTTATCAGAATAAACTCATGTCTTCAAGCCTTGCTCAGACTCAAAGACGCCAGGGGATTAAAGGAAACAGTTGACATACAACAGAGTTTCTTGTTTTAAATAGAATGTATGCATAACCATAAAGAATGTATGAACATGCAACAAGTGTATTGGTTTAAGGGTGATGCTTTTCCTGACTTAGTGTCCGAGAGCATCCGGACGTCCGTAATTCTTTGTTTTTTATTGTGTCATTGTCCTAACTCTAAGTGTTATTACCCTAATTGTATTATTATTATTATAACCATTTTATTCTTATGAAACTTTTTACGTTTTAAAAACCAAGCGACTGGCGTTTTTCACACGGCCAAGGGTGGGTTTGCTCCGCCCGGCTGCGACCGCCCCGTGCGTGCCGAGCTTGCCTCGCGGTCCCGCTGCAGAACCCGAGCCATAAAAACCCGGGAGAGCTGACAGAGCTGGAACCCGCCCGGTACCAAACTTGGCAAACCGGAGAGCTGAGCGTGAGCCCCGCGCACCCGCGGCTCCTCCGGGCAGCCGGGATGAAGCGGTGAAGTGAGTGCCACGATGTGCTGGATGCGGGAATGAGGCACGGGATCCTCCCTGCGGGCACTCCCAGAGGCTCGAAGGGGACGCAGCCCCGCCGTGCCTGCCCTGCCTGCGGCCGGAGGGGAGCCCAGGAGCCGAGGAGGCGGCCGGGGAGGAGCGGGCAGCGCCCGGGCACGGCGGAAGAGGAGGCGGCTCCTTCCCGCTGCGGCCGGCCCCGAGCGCCCCGAGCGGGACACGGTAATGGGGATGGGGAACGGGATGGGATGGGGATAGGGAACGGGATGGGATGGGGATGGGATGGGGATGGGGATAGGGAACGGGATGGGATGGGATGGGGATGGGGATGGGATGGGATGGGATGGGGATGCAGCCCTGGGGCAGCCCAGGCGGAGCGAGAGGCGTGCGGGGGTAGCGCTGCCGGGGTGATCGGAAATCCCAAAAAAAGGGCTGGAAGGTGTGCCCGGGCTCGGTGCGATCAAAAATCGCAGAAAAGGGCTGGAAGGTGTGCCCGGGCTCGGTGCGATCAGAAATCCCAAAAAAAGGGCTGGAAGGTGTGCCCGGGCTCGGTGCGATCAGAAATCCCAAAAAAAGGCTGGAAGGTGTGCCCGGGCTCGGTGCTATCATAAATCCCAAAAAAAGGGCTGGAAGGGGTGCCGGGCTCGGTGCTATCATAAATCCCAAAAAAAGGGCTGGAAGGGGTGCCGGGCTCGGTGCGATCAGAAATCCTAAAAAAAGGCTGGAATGGGTGCCGGGCTCGGTGCGATCAGAAATCCTAAAAAAAGGCTGGAATGGGTGCCCGGGCTCGGTGCGATCAGAAATCCCAAAAAAAGGGCTGGTAGGTGTGCCCGGGCTCGGTGCGATCAGAAATCCCAAAAAAAGGCTGGAAGGGGTGCCGGGCTCGGTGCGATCAGAAATCCCAAAAAAAGGCTGGAAGGGGTGCCGGGCTCGGTGCTATCATAAATCCCAAAAAAAGGGCTGGAAGGGGTGCCGGGCTCGGTGCGATCAGAAATCCCAAAAAAAGGCTGGAAGGGGTGCCCGGGCTCGGTGCGATCAGAAATCCCAAAAAAAGGCTGGAAGGGGTGCCGGGTTCGGTGCGATCAGAAATCCCAGGAAAAGGGCTGGAATGGGTGCCCGGGCTCGGTGCTATCAGAAATCCCAAAAAAAGGGCTGGAAGGGGTGCCCGGGCTCGGTGCTATCATAAATCCCAAAAAAAAGCTGGAATGGGTGCCCGGGCTCGGAGAGGGAAGCACATCCCGCTGCCGTCCCCTCCTGCCCGGCCGGGACCTCCCCGCTCATCCCCGCCCTTGGAAAAGCGAGCACCGATGATCTTGTAAAGTTTCTTTCTAAAATTTTTTTTTACGTAAAAAACCTTGAAGTGTTGTTATATTAGAGCACCGCAGCTCGGGGTTTTGCAACATCGCCTCTAGTTTCGATTGGTTTTAAGTTAAAAATTTAAATAGAAAAGAATCAATGGCTGGCTTGGGCTGGAATGACTTTTAAATGTTATCTCGCTCACCGTGTGCAAGGACACCTCCCACAGTCCAGGCCGTGTCCAAGCCGGCCTTAAAGCCAGCTTTAAATAATATATTTCCAAATTATTTCTGCTGGTAGCTTTAAAAAGGATTTATTTTCTTATACACCTTTTACTATGCTATTTTAAAATCATCATATTGGACTATTGGTTATTTTAATTAGCAATCGTTAATGAATATGAGAATTTCCCAACTTTTTCCTGACCAAGCATGTCCCCTACCTGTGTGGGATATGGATCCAAATCCCTGTGGAACATTGTGAGCCTCGCATGTGTTGCCTCACATTTATTTCAAATAGTATAAATGTAATAATATAAATGTAATAATATAAATGTAATATAGAAATGTAATAATAGAAATGTAATAATAGAAATGTAATAATAGAAATATAATAATAGAAATGTAATAATTATAAATGTAAAAAATAACAAATAATAGAAATGTAATAATATAAAATAAATGCGTTGCCTCACATTTATTTCAAAAGTCACCGGTTTTATCTTTTTGGCACAATCTGGGCTGGGAAGAAAATGAAAGTAGCGCCCTGGAAGGAGCTGCCGTCCCCTGCTGGGAGGGAGAAGCTGCCGGCACGGAGCCTGGAGGAGGAGGAGGAGCTGCAAGGGCAGAACCTGCACCATGACCAGAAGTTCTCAGACCTCGCTGACTCACCTGCCTCCCTTTGCTTCAAGCACTCGAAATAGGAGAAGGTGGGGATTTATCTCCCTCTGTTTCCTCAAAGACCTGAATTGATGTTTATTTTCCTTACGTAACAGGATTTGTATCCAGTTTTGTTGTTCACACTGTCATGACACCAGGTTTTCTTCCTATAAAGGATCAAAACAATTTATAATATTTTTCTCATTAAGCAGCCAAGATCAGTTTTCACTGATATGCTTTAAAGTTGATCATCAAAATAAATGTTATTGATCTAAAATCAGATAATAAGCACTGATACATAACCGAGGTTATTTTCTTCCAGTATGTATTTCCTGCTGTCCACTGAAAGTCAGATTGATGCATAAAAAGAGAAGATCCCTATTAGTTAATTACTGATTTTGAGAGGAATCAGTCCAAAATTCTTCTATTCAAATGCTTTATATAAAATTGCTTTGATCCGTTTTAAGGCCATTGTCGGTGAAATATTCTCCAAATGCTTCGTTTAAAGGATGATTAATTTCAAATCAGATCCTACACAGAAACACGAGGCAGGTGGGCTCTGGAAAATCAAATTCCCCTGGATTCCAGAGTGCTGTTCTGGGGTTTGGATTTATTTGCCAAATCTAAAACATTTATGAGCCCTGTGGTGATATTTTTGAAGATAAGGAGTAATTAATTGTGCTGTGAAATCAAACCTTCCATCATCCTGACTGTGTCTTTGTGTGTGCTCGTGCAGGATAAATATTATTACTGCAAACATCAGAAACCATTTGGACTTCCCACAGGCACTGGAGTTATTTTGGCTTAAAGATGTCTAAAATAAATGCTAGAGCACGTGTGATTTTAGGGAAATAAAACTACACGAGGGTACAGGCCTGGGGGTCTGGTTTTAAACTGGGTTTTGTGAAGATTTATCCATTGGAATCTCTAATCCTGACATTGCAGCAGCGGCTTCAGCACGGATTCCACAGGAGTTTGGAAGGCCCTGCTGTGGATTTGTGTGCCTCAAATCCAAAAATTACCTGGCCAGTGATAAAAACAGTCATGATTTTGGTCGATACCAGCTTTAGCATGCAGCTTGGTTTAAGGAAGTTGATTTTTACCTTCACCCCCCTCCCTGGGAACAAGGAACTGCTCAAACCTTGAACGATGATGAAATCCTTTCTTCCTTGTCTCACGTGCTCCAGCTCAGGCAGATCACTCAGACTTTGCCTTTAACAGAAACACCAAAAATCTGAACCTCTGAGCATCCATTTCCTGGCGTGGTGCTGACATCCCTGGGATCACAGCCCTTGGAGCAGGATCCTGGCTGGAGAGCAGGTCTGTGCAGGGTGGGGGGATCTCCAGGGGGAAAGCCACGAGCTTTCAGTGCTGCAGAGCAGAGATTTCAGCCCTGCTCTGCAAACCCTGCTGGGCAGGGGCTCTGTGTCCTGCTCAGCAAACCCTGCAAACCCTGCTGGGCAGGGGCTCCGTGTCCTGCTCAGCAAACCCTG